CACGCTGGACCGTCCACTTTCTGTGACCGAATCTTCCCAATCCGAGTCCTCATCATCATCATCGATAGCACTTTCGGAGATATCGTCATCATCGGTCTCGATCGCATCCTCATCGCTGTCGTGACTGTCATCCTTTGGTGGGTCGATCGTGCCAACTTGGTCCTTGAATGTAGTCACCTTCTTCATAGGACTGGGAGCGACGGTTGTAGGCTTGCTCAATTCATCCGAAAGAGAGCTGCGGTGCGTTTGTTGGGCCAGCATACGATCGTCGAAGGAGCTCTCGTCATCATCGCCAGACGAACCACCCAGTGTGAACATTCCACCTTTCTTCTTCAGAGGGGATGGCCTGCGTTGTACGGGAGTGCTCATTTTCCGGGGTTCGGGAGCCAACCTGGGCTGCGAGCGATACGACGAAGAGATTTGCGAAGGAGAGAATCCACGGACGATGCTGGGAGACTTGATCAGACTGGGGCGGGTCGGGATGATACCAGAGGAAGAAACACTCGTATCAGAGGCGTCCTGTTGTGGTACATCGCTGTCATTGTTCTCGGGCGCAGTGGTCGAGCACGACTCGGTCGAGTCGATGGGTTGTTTCCGTACCAACGATGGACGAACTGGGACTTCCTTCGCGGTGGAGGTCGAGGGCGGGGTAGGGGTGGGGGATGAGGGTCTTGTAGAGGAGCGTGTAGTAATGTCAACGACGGGTGGCGATACTGTCATGGTAGGAGGAATAGGTTGAAGATCCTTCTTCTCTTTGATGTTAAGTACCATTCGTTCCAAGCCAGAAGACGTGATATGCTTCTCCTTTCCGCGACCGAGGTTAAGCATGGAATCTTCACGAACTACTGCCGGTTTGTAGTCACATTTGGGGCGTTTGATGTGGTGTTCGATTTTCTCTGCTTGGTCCGAGGCCGCGGATTCGACACTGGAAGAAAGGTCGGGCAAGTCACCTGCCTCGGAACGGAGAAGTGGCAATACCGACGCCTCACTCGAGGTTTCAGGGTCAACGCAAAATGTTTCCCGCGTCCATAATCTCCAGCTGAGGTTTTCCAATCGACGACCCTGGTCCATATAATCGGCACATTTCGAGAACACTGTTTCGTAAGAGATAATTGTCAGCCCAGACTAACCAAAAAAAGTAGCACAGAAGACAGCAATAAGCTTACCCATCCACATCCCATGTAAACTCTGCGCATTTGCCGTATCTACCTTGTGGATCTTTTCCGTATCCACGGTCAATACCGGAGTAGCCAAGCGAGGAAACATATTATCCTTTCTAGTGAAGCCACGGTTTTAAAGGCTCGTGATCCTTTTTGTTGTTCGAGAACTTCTCGTCGATTCGGGGTCGCCGTCTCCCCCGAGTGCGGTCGTGCGGCGCTAGAGTAACGATGGCGAGAGTACACCGCGAACTGGTAGAGGATATCACCGGATGACCTAAGCTTTTTGGTCTGCAGGATGCGCTGCAGAATACCGATCAAGTAGAAGGGAATTGGCGCCGTAGCTGCAACAAAGCCTGTGCAATGAATGCAGCCGATCAATGGGGTGCTTCCAAGAAAAGGTTCGGTTACGGATGAACGGGGATCGTCGTAGATATCGAATTCAATCCGGGTGAGAGTAACACAATGATGCGGAAGACCTAGTAAGGTATAGAGCGCGGATTGATTCCTTCCACAAGTTTTCGTAGGTCACGCTGGATGTCAGGGTTTCCCTTTCCTAATTCCGAGCTAATTCGACAATCTTCTTTGTCTTTGCTCTTTCCCTCAAATTGTTGGCACGTTCCTTGTCTTTCTTCACGTCCGTTCTACTGAGTTGGATGCGGAGAGGGTGGAAAACGACCGACGGTAGGAGAGTTGAATGGGGGATAGGGGTGAAATCGACGGGGTAAGAGGATTGAAGCCGTATGAGGTAGGCTGGTAAAGAGAGAAGAGAGAGAGAGAGAGAGAGAGAGAGTAGGTGATGGGAAGGAGAAACGGAAGAACGACACAAAAAAGAGAGAAAAAGAGGTGGAGCGGAAGAAGGAGGAAAATACCTGTTATTATTAGGGGAGTGGAGAGTATGTATGTATGGGTATATATTACCATACAGTATGAATTGGTAGCGTATGCAATGAATACCACCGGAGCAGGAATTGCGAGGGGCGAACGGGGGAGTCCCGAAAAGCAGGTTCCAGATCCATTTTTCTGATTGGACGATGAAGGATGGCGGTCAGAATTTCAGCCGGTTGGGTTGGTCCGTTTTATTACCGCCCTGAAAATTTACTGGTCATAAATTACGTACTTCCGAAGTTGTACCCCAGCGGTGGGTCAGTAATTTTACCGGTCTGTTTCCGGAGGTTCCACTGCAAATGCTGGATACAGAATACAGAATACGGCGCGTATGGAAGCATACAACTACATAGTGGTAGTAGAGTGAAGCACAAAGTACAAACTGACAGCGGTTAATGATAGAGTACCGTGATTGATGAGCTGTCTTTTAGAGTCTGGTGATGCTTATACAAATGTCGTTACAGAGTACTCGGTGCTCGCATAGACTGCCCAACTGAATGGTCGCGGTCTAGACACCAATCATCCAGATCCTGTGACCTATCGCTAGCCTTAGTCAGCGGTTTGGACAATTCATCCGTCACTTGACCAGGTCCCGCCAATGATTGGCGCCCGCGATCAACTTCAGTCAAGTCCGCCTTGCCTTCCACTCTCTATTCTCATCATGCAACAATAATCATCACATCAACCCTCACAACAACAGAAGAAGAAGAAAAGGAAGGGATTCGCGTCCCTGCTCGCTTCCGTCGTGCGCCACACATAATTGTCCTGCTGACTTTTACTTTCTTTTTTTCATTGCTGTTGCAATCGTTGCAACTAGATGATACAAAAGGCCGCCTCTGTTCAACTGTTTGCTTTGTGGCCACGGGATTTCGGATTCTTCTTTCTTTTTTTTCTTTAGGAGTTCGAGAACTGTTGGTCTTGAGTCACGTTGCTTTGAAAAATTCCTTCTTTTTTTTTTTTTTTTTCGCCGGAAATGCTTCCCACTTCCGTCCCTTTCTGTAACTGTTTGCTTACCGAATTGGGACGGCCATATGACCTTGTAAAATTTCCGATAGTCGGGATAGCCTGCTACGCTGTTTGTCCCTTCCTCGTCTTGTTGGTCTTAATTGGGATCTTCCGGGGTTTTGCTTTTTGTGATGCTCCTGGATCGGTGTGGCATGTTCCAGTTGTTTCTCAGTTGCATACCTTACCGGCCCGGGGAACTACCGCCAGACTTCCGATCTGGTTGATCAATTCTTTATCCTCGCTGGTATTCAGGGCCATTTTTCTGCAATGATGTGTTCGTTTTTATCTGGTCTGTATCATGCGAGCATCTCCCGCGTTACCGCCCCTTTGTTACGTCTTCCGGTTCATCCCTGGCGGATATCCTCGACCGTCAAATATGAAACGGAAGGCGGAGTAGGAGTAGTTAGTCCTTTGTGCCCAATTTCGGGCAACGGTCACAAGAGCCAATGCTGCTACAACTTCAAATCCGGGGCCAAACAATGACAGATGCCCAGCTCAGTGTTTCCAACACGCCGGAACCGACTATCAGTCTGCAAGTGGCACAGTTGCATGCTCTCGGGCTCATGTGAGCGCGAGTCCACGTCAGGCTGTGTACAGATATGCACTGTTGGTTATACCCTGCAAGCGGCAAAGGGAAGAAAGAACCCTTTTCTGTGCAGCCGTACCGGGTCCAAACTGCAAAAGCCGCATAATAGGGCTAGAATGAGTATAAGAGCGCATCCAGTACAGATTACATGCATAAACAGGGTCATTTGATGTATACTGCCCTGTATGGCGTACCAGTACTACCCCCTGGGAAGGCATACAACCAATGCTTCACTAATTATAACTCAGCACAGTGCTCCTTACGGAGTACGGGATAGTCAGACGAGTTATATCTGGTTTCGCAGTTCTGCTACTAACCGGCTTCCTTTCATGCGTCGCTCTCTTACTGGCATGTTTCACCATTTCATCACCTGTACAGACTACGTTTGTATACAAGTACATACAAGTACAAGTACACCAGCGACGATCAACAAAACCACAGCCATGGACCGGAATGAAATCATGCCCATCTATCCGGATTCAAACGCATAAAAACAACTCGCTTAACATAGTATGATATAGTCTGCGGATAACCCCAGAGTGGCAAAAACCCCAGGTTTGGTCACGAGGACATACACATCCCCATCCGGTAAAAAACCGGGGCCCCTGAGCCGAGGCAGAACATCACATGACACATTGGGGGGTTTCCGTCCTCGGATATTACACTGGTTCAGTATTTCTAGCCGGATAGTCATCTTCCGACGAACTATGTATCCGGAACGGCGTTGGTTAGGGGGGCGTACGTTTTCAATAACTAGCAAACAATAATTAAACACCCATTGATTCAATGACAGGTAACGGAGCGAAAACTCACATCCGGAGAATGGTCATGCGCCGATATCAATACCCGATCCCCGTCCTACTTTCTGCCATTATCCTTTGGTAACCAAGGATATCTCACTTTTTGTGCGTCTACGCTTTATATCGTATCGGACGCTGTACGGTGTATCCTGTACAGTACGCAGTTATGCAGATGCAAGAAATTGTTTGCTTCTATTCAGGGAGATCGATATCCACCGCCGCGTTGATCGTGGGCGATCACTCGATGATAGACATTGTCTGTTTTGGAATCCAAGCGTTAATAACATGCAATAAAGCGATGGCTATCGATCAATCACTCAATCATGCCGTATAGCTATACGCCATGCGCTTTACACCAATCATTCCTGTGCTCAGACTTTAGTATTCATGCGATTCTCAACACATAGTCTAGCAGTTTTCTGCTTCGTATTGTAGACTATGTACGGAGTACGCCGTGATCAGTGTATATATCTACCATCCTAGATGCATATCAGTCGACTCGTCACAATCTGTCTTCCGGGCCGCGTTCCCGGTTAGCCCCTTGACTCGTGGATGTGAGGGGATGTCAGTCATGTTTATTGTATACGTATAGCACGTAACTACTTGTTGTGTTTGTTAGTTCATTGTTATTGCTGTACGGTGTAGTTTACGATACTTGCAGCTCTAGATTGCAGCATGTGCGGGTGGTTGTCTGGGTAGCTGGTACGCTAAATGTATATAGAGCGATAGAGTTGCATAATGTAGATCCCATCTGGACATGTTTGATTAAGAGCAGAAGCAAAGATCAGAATACTTTGCACAAGTACAAGTATAAAAGAATGCAATGATACATGTCGATAATTCATCAATCCAATCACTCCGCAAAAGAATGCACATACTGATAAATTGCGTGTTCAATCTTTGGGCCCTTCAATCAACGTCTTCGTCCCCTCCCCACGCTTAGCCGTTTCCCACGCCTCAGTAGCCGACTCAAACGGAAAGACGCTCGTCACCAGTCCAGACAACGATACTTTCCCTGAACCCACAAGGTGCACCCCCAAATCAAAGTCCCCGGCTCCATACCGGAAACAACCCTTAGCAGTAATCTCCTTCTCACACATTTCCGATATAGGAAACTCGATCTTGCGCTTTCCCATTCCCACCTGAGCATAAGTCCCTCCCTTGTGCAGTGAGAATAGTGCTGTTTGCACTGACATCTCAGCACCAGATGCATCAATAGCAATATCAGCACCCTCCCCCGACCCATGCTCTTGTATCAAGCGGGCTGCATTCTCCTCGGGACTAAGCCATGGATCAGCAAGGACCGTTCTCCCCACAGAATTACCAACAAAGCGCTGCGCGAAGGAAAGCTTGCGTTCCACGATATCCACAGAGACCACAACAACAGCACCAAACTCCCTAGCAACAGCCGCACAAAAAAGCCCAACAGTCCCAGCACCAAACACAATAACAGTCCTCCCAGGTCTAACATCTGCCTGGCGCACAGCATGGATGGCAACAGCCAGAGGCTCCATGAGAACTGCTTCTGTCAGACTGATGCTCTCAGGCATTTTGTAGCAGAAGTCAGCAGGCAGCATGAAATATTTGGTGAGCGTCCCATGCAGCACGGGGGGATCGGCTGCAAATTTCATCCCTGGACAGAGGTTGTAATGGCCGTGTTTGCAATGGTGGCAGCGGCGGCATGGGTAGCCTGGTTCAATTGCAACTTTATCTCCAGGACAAAGGGAGGTCACCGCGGAGCCCACTACGAGTATAGTCCCGGATGCTTCGTGGCCCATTGTTAGGGGTTGAGTTTCGGACACGAAGGTCCGGATTCCCCCGTGCAGCCAGAAATGGACCTGATCGAAGATGTCAGTAAGGCTGGAAATTGACCGGGAGATGACAGCTGCGCTACTGCGACTGCTGATAGCAGCAGGCAATGAGATGGATTTACTCACGTCGCTCCCACAAACACCTGTATAAGCGATTCGAACAATGACATCGTGCGGATCCTCAAGCACTGGAATTGGTCGGTCCTCGAACCGGGCATCTAACGAACTGTAGAGAAGACATGACGGGTTCTTCGCGTTTGGATCCATGTTTTGTTCGCTCTGTGTTATCTTTCTGGTTCCGTTGAAGCTGCGCTCGAGAGAAAGATCGCATTGAGAGAAATACTCAACACGCCGTAGGATCTTATAATAGCATGTCAGACCCACTCAGAGAATAGGGTAATCGCGCGGTGGACAGTTTTCCTGTGCTGCTATTCCGAAGCTAACCCTAGGACGAACGCTGTCCGTAATTCACTTGAATAGTTCTTCGTTATTGATATCTACCGTAGACAGGTAAATTATGGGAGGGAGGGGAATGGAAAGGTCAAAAATAATAGAAAAAAGACAGATCCTCCCAGTTACACGAAATCGATTGGAGTTGGGCTCGGCCGGTTCTGTTCCGATGGTTGTAATTGCGGAGGTCCAAGGTCTACCACAACTAAAAACTGAATAATAGCAGAAACTATGAAAGCGCTAGCTCTCCATTGTTTATCGTTTGCCTCGCAGGGCTGAATCGCAATTTGTTTCGCCAGTCATGGATACTCCCCCCGAAGCATGAACTTCCGATAAATAAAAAAGACCGAAACCATAGCCAGCTGAAAGTCTACGAGTCTTGCTCATTCAGTACATAGCACGTTGCTGTTGATCGAAGAGGAGATGCTCACCATGTGAAGCGGACAAGAGTGGCTCGGACTCCTGCAAGTGTAACCTACAGATCCTCTACGGTTGACAGTGGCCCGGTGGCTTGTGGAGGCGCCGGACCACCTTTATGGCGAAGACCTGGAAAGAACCAACACAAGGAAAGGCGGATAATGAATGATTTGACAGCCTATGGCTACCGAGCCTAAATTGGAGAAAAGGGGGGGCGGACAAATTCACTCAACGCAGAAGATATTGTCCATTTCTCTGCAAAAATGGAACGTGTCTATAAAGATCTTGTTTCTAGGGTCTCTGAAATATACAAATTCCAGAAGAATGACAAATGCGCTTCAAACCGTGTTATTATCGCTCTCAGCGGCCCTCCAGGCTCAGGAAAGTCCACAATCGCAAAAGCCGTGGCTAGACGTCTCAATTCGCAAACCGCAAAGCCCCTCGCTACCACACTCCCGATGGACGGCTTCCACCATCCAAAGGCATTTCTGAATTCACTACCAAATCGCGAAGAGGCATATGCATGCCGCGGTGCACACTGGACCTTCGACGCAGCGGGGGTACTGCAATTGGTCAAAATCCTCCATCTCGGCAAGACGGACGTACAAAAAGAAACCTTTTACGCGCCGCAATTTGACCATGCAGTAGGGGACCCTATTGAAAACGGTATCTGTGTGTCCCCGGACATCTCGATTATAATTCTCGAAGGCAACTACTTGGTCTGTGACATCGCCCCGTGGTCCGAGATTGTTAATTATGTGGATGACACTTGGTTCGTGGATGTTGACATGGAAATCGCCAAACAGCGTGTTGCTAGGCGACACCTTGTAAGCAGCATTGAGAGTACGTGGGAGGATGCCGTTCGACGAGCCGAGAATAATGATCTTCCCGACGGTTTGGATATACGGACGCACTTGATCAAGCCGGCTGTGGTTGTCCAAAGTGTCGATGGTTCGAAGAGTCAAGAGGATTGAATCCACTGTCGCTGGGTACTGTATACATTTGGTGGGAGGATTGGGGGAGGAATGGTATCCAAAATGAAACATCTTATCGTTGTCTTTAAACTTGATGTGTATCTATGAAGACAATTTTTGTCACGTTCGATATATATGTGCTTAAATTGGGCTGTAAATGACAAGAGCCATTCTCTCTCCATTTATATCAATTAGGGCAATACACAACTACCTTTGACAAGAAAGTCGCTACAGTCTCAATGCCATTCTCAAACCAATACCGGCTTGATGTACTCCGTAATTTCTCTCCGCTTCTCACGCCCGCATGGTGGAGAAAATAGGATCTGGGGAACCATGCTTTCGGAATGTTGTGGCCCGATTAGCTTGCACGTGATCATACGACGATATCTCAGTGACTACAAAATTGCATTTTTTGCACTATATCGCGGATGACTGATCATCTCTCACCATGCCGAAATCATCGAGTGCTGGTTCGGGGCCCGTAGAGATCCGGGTAGTAGGTTTCCCTTCATTTTCTGGTAGTCCGTTCATCCGGTTGACAGATGCCCGCAGTGTACAGAATGCAGGGTGAGTGGATTTTAGTGTGCATGGAAAGGCTATCAGCTAATATGGTGCTCTCATTTCGCATAGAAACGCAAGAGCAAGGTGAGCTACATGAATATTACTCACTCCTTGACCCAACAAATCATTTACAGATGACCAAGTGTTCGGGCACTTCGCCTTGCCTTTACTGCTCTCGAAATCACAAGTCATGTGTCTTTGTTCGTCCACCGTCTCGCACGCCTTTAACAAGGAAGTTAGTACTTCTTTTTGCTCTTGGATCGTTTTGTCTCTAAAACAAGTAGGAATTTGGAAGAACTAGAAAATCGATGTGCCAATTTGGAGAGGCTGTTGCAGAAGCTCAACCCGGATGTTGACATTGAGAGAGCCTTGAGAACAATGAAAACGTCTGGCAAAAGCAATGAGTCTTCACCTGGAGTACAATGGTATTCTGAGCCTACAAGGGAAAATGCCCCTTCTGCAGACAAGTTTGAGTGGAACGAATCTCCGATGACCTCACCCTCGCAAACAGACGATCTAGATGGAATGGCATCACTCCCGACAGGAAGCACAGGGTCCGGATATCTTGGTAATACAACACGAGCCGTAATTTGGAGCCTGTTCTGATAGCGTCTTTAGGAAACAGCTCTGGGTCTCATCTTCTAAGAACTATCTCGAACTTGCTTCCTGGGTATCCTGTCCCAGAGAACTCGCCTCGGGTTCCCAGTGCAACCAAAGAGCTATCAATATCGGCAAATCTGAGCAACACAGTTGTTTTAGAAAGCTTAGTTGACTCTTATTTCATGTTCTATAATCCGTCATACCCAATACTGCACGAGAAAACATTTCGGCGGCAATACCAGAGTCGTGCAGAAATTGACGCCTGCTCGAGATGGCATTTGATATTCCATATTGTTTTAGCAATTGGGGAATGGATTCTCGCTGGCGGGCCAGAGACGGAGCAGTCAAGATACTACATCGCTGCACGCTCACGCATGTCGATGCGTATGCTGGAGTCAGGTACTCTCCTCACTGTGCAAGCCTTTCTTCTTATGGTAACCTAGACATTATTCATTAATTAGGCCCAGCTTTTTCGTACTAACTTGATTACAGGGTAACTATCTCCAGAAGCGAAATCGGCCCAACACAGGGTACAACTTCATTGGGATTGCATATCGGATGGCTCTTGGACTTGGCCTTCATCGCGAGCCACCTGCGGTAACGAGCAATGACACATTAATGCACGAACAAAGGAGGATTGTCTGGTGGATCATCTATTGTTTTGACAGTGGATTGAGTCTCACCACCGGAAGACCAACCACGATATCTAACTCCTTCATCGAAACTCGGTTTCCTCGCAACATCGATGATTCCGTAAGTGGTAACTATTTTCTGTTCTTAGGGACAGACTGCTGACCTCAATGTCTCAGTCCTGCTCCATGAATTCGCCTCTCCCGGAACCAACGAACAAAACAACCACTTATTCGGCCATTAGTGCACAAGCACGTTTGGCAATTATCGGAAATATGGTCTACAGTGACGTGGTTGGTGCTCCGAATGAAAAATCATTCAATCCAAGTATCTCACGCTCGCTCGATCATCAACTTCAAGCCTGGAAACTATCCTTGCCTGACTATTTTACGTCCCAAGACATTCCAAGGTGGTTCCGTGGCCCGCGAGCAATAGTATGCTGGAAGGAGCAAAACTTGCAAATGATGCTGTGGTGGGGAACTCAGCGCTTGTGCAAGTTCCCACAGGATAGCGAAGAGGCGTTTGTAATGTGTCAAAATGCTGCACTCAAAACTATCCAGAGCATCACAATATTTTGCGTTGACCAAGCTGATGCCTTGCATACTGGCCTCAGCTGGTATGCCACTTACTTTCTTTTTCAGGCAGCCATTGTTCTAAGTATTCATCATCTGAAACCATGTCAGCCCACAGACACGGGCCTGGCGGCAGTTCATCAGGAACTCTCGGTTTCTTCCTTTTCGAAGTCATGCGACTGCCTGGCTAGTCTAAGCCAGAATAACAAAGCTGCAGCAAGGTGTCTGGAAGTCCTAAATAGAATCAGAGATCGGTCTCAACCGGCACAGAGTCTGTCTACCCATATAGAAGACTCTGAATTAAATTCGCATCCGGATACTGCGCAACAACCAACCACACTCGAGAACACGGATGTGCATTCGACAAATTACGAAATCGATCCTTCATTGCAGATTTTCTTTCAAGGTACTTCTTGGAACAATGAAATTTTTGAAGGCCTTCAAGGATTTCCCGGTACCAATGAAGTGGGATTGTTTGATTATATTCCTGAAAATAGTTTCGATGCACATGTGATTCCTGATTGGTCTACGGACTCGGGCTTAGGACCTACTTAGGTGCTATATAAGTGCCATTGCGTCTGTTCGTGTTCCTTTCGCAAAAGTCTTGTCATCGTTCAAACGCTCTATGTTATAACCTCTCACGCTAGCTCTGGTCGAATAAAGTCGTCCTCTGCTTTTTTAGTGCTTAACAGTTAGAGACGTGAAATCACAACTATGGACTCAGAGAGATCCTGGCGAACAGTATGATCAACTTTGTTATGGCCAACTTTCCGCGTAGCTACTTATATTTGAAGCAATAGACACGGCCCAGTGCCGACGACATGTGAATGTGAAGGCCCTATCGAAGAACTTTTGGTATCGATCCGGGGAGAGACTGCCTCGTAAAACAATATCTTGATCATTTACATCGCTCACAACCAAGATTAAACCCCAAGAGCAGGCACTGGAACGGAGTACTCTCGTAAGCGAGGTAAACGAGGGCTTTCCCAACACCCACCCAAGACTGAGAATATCATTAGCTGCTAAACGAGAGCATTGATACTTGGAGAAGCTGTAAGGAAAAAATTAACCAGATTTATTCAACCGTCCGTTCACGTGATTGAGTGAACCCTAGAAAACCAGGCAGCCCCGGAAACGCAATCGTGTAACTACTATAGAGCGGTACATGATTTTTCAACCCGCAGCGGATAAGCCTACCATCTCACTCCATACTAACCATGGCAGACTATATAAAGAAGAAACTTGTTGATTATCAATTCCAAAAACCTGGTTATGGTATCGTTAAGCTCTTGCGCGCTTTCTTAATATACCTACCTGACAACGGAAAGAAGAACTTGATTGATGACATCAAATCATGCGAGACTCATCAAGACCTCCACCACCTCACCCAGTTTCGCTTAATGACTCCTGTTTCCAATGTATACACAACCACGGACATCTTTTGCTGTGACGTCACGTGGAAACAAGTATCCAATAACACGTTATGGAGAACTCGAAATGGAAGACGAAGAAGGATATAAGCGCTTGATGCAACTTCAAAATGCCTGTCGCTCCTGCGACAGTCTCAGATGCTTGCTAACAGGCATGCCTAATTGCGAGCAGACTTGTCATGATCCGAAACACAAAGGAATCTTAAAGTGTTCAACGAGAGTTGCTCATATTATCCCGAGCGGTCTTGCTGGGCCACACTCTGTGTTATTCTGGGAAACGCCGGAGCGCTATTTCCCTTCCCTGAATTTGAGTCCTGAGGATATTGATTCGCCGCGTAATGCTATTACAATGGATATATCCCTCCAATGCCTGTTTCGCACAGGCCTAGTATCTCTGGAGGCGATTGAGGAACATTCGTATCGGATTAGAGACCGTGACCCTAGTATCGTCTCCTCTAGATACCTGCCAGGCTCTGGGAAAGTCAGTTTCGTTAATCATGATTCCCGTTATGAGTTACCCAGCCCTGTCTTACTTGAGATACATGCTGTCGTAGCTAGGATCCTGCATATGACTCGAAAGGACCGCGAAAATGATGGGGATGAAAAAGTGGAACAAAACCGGGACATTGGCAGAGGATGGTAGTTCTGATGTTGAAGCATTGTTAGCTATCTCGGGTTTCAAGACTCGCACGAGTGGGTATTCTCACACTGATGATTGAGTGGGTTCCGAGATGCGGCTTGCTTTTTACCGCAAACGGTATACAGTCAACTAGCTTTCTATTCCTTTAGTCTCCTTCAGACTCAACGCCGAGAAGCTACTCATCTGGATTATGCCTAATCATTTCCACATGATGAAAGCGAAAAGCTGTGCCCATAGTCAAATACATTCGATGGTAGATACTAATAAATCTGCTTTCCTTTCTGATGCGAAATACATGAATAAGGACTGCCTTCCAGTCAAAAATACTTGTTTTTCTCTGCTATCCTCCTTCCACCCTCCGTTGACTTCAGCCATCTCTTTATGCGAAAGGAGCAATATTAACGGTCTTTTCTTCCTAATGATCAAGCCTTCCTCAAGTCCCGACTCAGGATCATCTCCTGGAAGGGGATTATGAGAGGGTCCCCAGTGACGATTACTTGATTACTCTCATGGCGTTTCACTTTGACGATTTGCCCACAGACCCCTTGGATACAAGTGCCCTATCTCTGAGGAAGTACCCGGGTTCCACTTTTCCAGGATTGTCCTGTTTAGCCACCTTCTCTCCAGCTCCCGACATAGCTGCCCCACTATAAAAGGTGGTTCAGGTTTCGGCGATTCGAAATGCAGGTTGGCGGCAATTTGACGTTGTCGATAGTCGTCTTCGTCTCTTCGGATGTCCAATGATAAAATAAATGATATAAACACATATGGTGGTGAATATGTGCTTATATTCTCTGTAGGGGCTGCGGAACAGCGTCTCCTTTCTGAAAGGGGATTATGAGAGAGTCCCCATTCGAGATCACTCGCATGTCTAATTCGAGTGACAGCGAATCACGCAACCAGCCTGGCTTGACTGTGTATATCATTGTGATAAGCTATGTTCACTCTCTTTAGGATGGCCTCAATTTGGCATCTGTTTGTGAAGACCAATATCAAAAACCTAACATATTCGTGGGGACGACAGATCTATAGGCTAACATCTGATTGAAGATACCTTGTCTCTCTGACCAGCCGCACCTTACGGTGATGGTAGACCATTATGGATCTCTCCTGTAGAGAATGGAGGATGCTTTCTTCCATGCGCATTCCGGGTTTTTGAAAATGTCTCTGCAACAAATGCGTTGTCACAACGGGGTTATGTTCTTCGCCAAACCAATCCGGGATTTGGGGCTGCTGGACGCGGAGGAGCTGGCAGCGGTATGGTAGGACGTGGCGAGCTATGCTTCTGTTTCCGTGCACCGTGAGATGTTCTCGTCTGACTTGGCAATCACTCATCGAGTACTGTAATCATATGTATTCTTGAACACTGCTTGCCGCCGAAATTCCCATCACATTTTCCTCCTCCATGAAATTCCGGATATTGTAAGCCTTTCGAGCTTTGAACACCCATCGACTAATGCCGTTCAGGGCCCGTACTTGAGGATGCGGTGTCGGGCTTATCCTTTCAGCCATGTATTTTGACTGGACTGGATGCTTCAAGATTATAACCGTCAGAAACGTAGACTTTGCCGATTTTTCTGGAGCGGACCAAGAGACGGGCAGGATCAGGGAGACTAGTCCCAACTGAAATACTGAGGTCATGGGCACGAGGCATCTACCGTAGTGCTATTCATCATGTTAGTTAAATGTTGAATATCGCTCTGATAACGCAAAGTGCTGACTTACCGTCATCTTCTGAAAAGAAAGCTGACTAGCTCTGGACGCATTCCATATTCTATGCATTGGTTCTCGGTACTCACGCTATTGTAGTTCCTTCTGCTTACCTCGAAGAAAATTGACGGTACATAGGTTTCAAGAACTGGCGAAAGACGGCTTAGAATGTAACTATATTCACGGATTATAACTATCAAGTAATTGGGCTTCTCCCTTGCCAAGCGAGCGAAGAAATGGCTGCCGGTTGGTAACGGTAGTCTTTCATAGTTGGAGCTCCTGTGGCCCTTGAATCTTCGTCTATATGCATTCAATCACGGAAGTAGCGAGACGGTGGCTTCTGGAGCTCACACAACCTGACGACAGAGATTTGCCAAAGGTAGACTAGACTATCGAGGTTTAGGTTATTCTCGTTTTTCCATAGCAGCCTCTACTGGATATCAATCCTAGTATGAGTGCTAGAAGAACGAAGGCTATTAAAGACGGAGAGAAGGGCCAAGAGAGGATATGAGCTGGAAAGTGAAGTAGAAGAGAAGCTAAAAAAAAGAAGAGAATAGAGGCAAGCCTAATGACATATTCGCTATGGCTACTTCAGGATCTGGTTGTATCAAGCACATCAATTGCTTTTATTCCATTGTACACCGATGTTGTCTACATGAAAAACGAATTACCAAGATATATGTAAATATGAATTCCCTATGACTGCAACGTCCGTTCAGCAGCAGTTGGCCACCGGGAGACAGAAGTTGTATACAAGAAATCTAGAAGTCTTGGTCATCGTCGCCGGAAATGATGACGTTGTTGATCTAGTGACTGGTTAGCCGGAAATCATGAGACGAGAAGAGCGATCACATACCTTAAGAACCATACGGCACAGCTGGGTGGCCAGCAACAGCTGCTGGCGCTTTCCGATCAATGGGTCGATAGCAAAGTGCTCTCTCATGTCTGGCATTCGGTCAGTCTAAGGAGGCACAGTAGTCAGATTGCAAGACATACCGTTGTTACCAGTCACCATGCAGTCAACGCCCAGGCGGGTGTTGTTCTCCTTGACCTGGCGCGACTTGATAGAGGCGAGGGTCTCAATAGGGCTTAAACCAGAGTTCTCGGCCAAGGCCAATGGCACAGCATCCAGTGCATCAGCGAATGCACGCATGGCATATTGCTCAATACCAGGGCTCTGTAAAGTTCACAGGTCAGTATGAATGTACTGTAGACAAGATAATTTAGAAACCCACCTTGACAGCAGCGTCCTCGACGGCAAGCGAGCAAGCAATTTCAGCGGCACCACCACCGTACACAACCCGGTTGTCTCTCACCAAGTTGCGGACGACGCACAGAGCATCGTGTAGCGACCGCTTGGCTTCATCAATGATCTGTAGAGCACGATGTTAGCAAATCATGGGGTAATCAGGCTAGCAACCCAGACTAACCATCTTGTTGCTTCCCCGGACGAAAACAGTCACCGCACGGCTGTTGGCGCACTCTTCAATGACAAGCATCTTCTCCCGCGTAGTACCGAAGGTCATTTCCTTAACAAGGCCAGCAGTTCCCAGCTTCTCCGCACTCAGGTCCTCGAAACGAGGGACAATTCTACCGTTCGTGGCGATGGCAATCAGTTCGATTTCAGGGCCACCAACCCACCGGACAGCGGGGAGGTTGTTCTGGAGCAGAAGGTGGTTTGCCTCATCATCAAAACCCCACTGGCAGATAACAAGGTTGGCGCCTGAGTCCTTCAGGTTCTGAATCATCTCCTTGAACTTCTCGCTTTCGTAGTTTTGCAACCGCTTGAATTCGTCGACCGATGTGATGTCCAGCTTGTGCTTGGTCTTGGGCTTCGGGGGCTCGAACGGGCAGGTGAGAATCGCCAATTTTGCGTCCGTCACCTCGTCGGGCATCTGAGGGTGGGAGAAGTCCTTGTCGACAATAACACCCTTCACCAGAAGGGAATCCTCAAGAGCACCTCCAACCTTGCCATCAACCTTAATCAGCTCGAAGTCGACGTCCTTACGGTCGAGATCAGCAACGGAGAGAACGGCATCGATGGCGATTTGCGCAAACTGGTCGTGAGACTTGGAGACAATTTTGCTACCCAAACTGGTCTTTGCGACCTTCAGCAGGTTCTCAGTGTTCTCTCTCGAGAAGGGGATTTCGTCGCTGATATTATCGAGTTTTTCAAGGGCGATCTCACAAGCGGAATCGTATCCATCCGCAATCCGGATAGGGTGAATACCCTTGTCAATCAAATCCGCGGCCTGCTCCAACATGGCTGCCGCCAGAACGACAACACCAGTAGTACCGTCACCAATTTCTTCATCTTGGGATTTCGAGAGTTCGACCAGCAGCTTAGCAACGTTGTTCGTGATTTCCATCTTAAGGAACGGGAGAGGTCAGTGACAATTTCGTACAAGCGTCGAGGGGTTGAGGACGGACCTGCCCAAGAATAGTTGCGCCATCGTTCGTCACCGTAATATCACCATCCGGAGAGATCAGGATCTTGTCGAGACCACGCGGACCCTGGAATAATGCTTAGATTTTGTTCAAGCAACGTGTTCGATAACCATACCAGAGAACTCTTCACGATGTTGGCGACAGTTTTGGCAGCGACAATGTGCGATTTCACGGCATCGGTGCCATGTTGTCTCTTCTTCTTTCCCTGACTGTAACGCGTATTCCATCAGCACAGTCTCCGGAGTGTAGCCATTAACCGCAGAGAAAGGAATTCGAAGAACGTACTCCCGGACAACGATGAAAGGCCGGCCTTGCTCATCCTTCATCACCGACGCTGTTATGACTGTCAGTCGCTAATTCGATACGGTCGGAACATTTCGCAGGACGGGGGATCGACCTTGAGACATATCAAGCTCTGTAATGAGAAAAGTTGACAGTTAGTTCATAAATTCAAGAATGAGGGGCACCGGGACGTACGCATCGCCATTTTTTTAATGTGGTCTGCCGCGTGGCAGGAAGTCGGATTTAATAAAAGAGATAAGTTAAAATATCACGGAGAGAATATAATTAAACAATAACCAAGACAAAAGCCCTCGGTAGAGTGAAAGAAGCGGGAGGAGGGAAGTTGAATCTGGCCACGATCCGATAGTCGTTCGGAGGCTCTTTTTAGAAATTCTGGAGATGTCCCAATCGGGCTAGTGAGCTGTTTTCCCAAGGCGGTATAGCGCGCTTCTTCAACGCGCATCCGCGCAAGTCAAGCATCTCTATCTACCTCAACTTTGCACTCTGTACTTTCTTCAATTAATTTGCCGGTCATCGTTATTCAATGATTTCTCTGTGAAGTTTTATAACCCGCGGTTACCGTGACTCTGCTTTCCAGACTTTTCGGCCTTACCTCCCCATCCGGCACCATGCCTCGTGAGTCGTTCCTCGATCGAATTAGCTTGGAGACCAAGCTAACCTTTTGCGCATCTTAGCTCCGCTGGAAGAAATGTCGGACGGCGAGTCTACTGGAGGCTCTATCCCCTACGCGAACAAGGACGAGGAACAACAAGAACCCAAGGACACAGATAAGGCCGCCTCGGGCGGAGAAGAAGGTGAAGAGGAAGAGGGCGTGTAAGTTGCGGCAATGGACATCAGATGGGCCGCGCTGACTCGAGCAGATATATCGTTGAACAGGTCGTGGGCCATGACTTCCTTAAAGATGTACGCGCGATCCCAACTCACCTGCGACAGCCAAGTGCGATGCGCTGACAATGCGACAGGGCACACTCCTGCTTCAAGTGAAATGGAAGGGATACGAGGACCCGGCAGATCAGACTATGGAGCCCGAAGAAAACCTGATGTACGTTATCGAGCATAATCCGCAGCGTATAGCCGCCATACTCACCAGTGTGATAGGGAGGGTGCGAAGGATTTGGTCGAGGAATACTACAGAGTTCAAGGTGGTCGTCCGGAAAAGCCGGCTCCCAAGAAGCGCAAGTCGGCTGGACGGCCCAAGCAGACTCCCGAGAAGGCAGCACCTAAGAGACAAAAGAAGTCGACTGACGGCAACACTATCGGGACACCAACTTCAACAGCATCAGAAGAGAACGAGAACGAAAATGGGGACGTTTACACCGACTGGACGCCCAACCGCAAAAGCTGGGAAAATGATGTGCAAAGCATTGAGACCATCATGCGCGAAGCGGAAACAAGCATTTTATACGCGTACATACAATGGAAAGATGGGAGGAAGTCGAAAGTGTCTCTTGAAACGTGCTACGAAAAATGCCCGAGGAAGGTGAGTCGTTCGATTTGTTGATGCTTGTGGACCTAGGCTGACACGCAGCAAGATGCTCAAATTCTATGAGGCTCATCTGTAAGTTCCATCCTTTCACGATTGGTAAAACAGGACGCTAACTCTGTCGCAGTGTCTTCAAAGAGGGTTAAACTTAATATCAACGAAAAGTTCTCGAATGGCGATAAGAATTGCTTAGCAATGATCTAATAATGTAATTTATTGTTACGTACTGCCGGTTTTTAGAGTCGATATCCTCGTCTATTCTTACATTCATGGGTTTTGCAAGCGCGGTTAGGGCAGGCTAGGATGCATAAGTGCAATTGAGATTCCAGTTTCCTATTAACTATTCTTTTTCCGGGTGGCGATTCTCCCTGTATCGATTTCATTCAATGCTTCCGTGGTTTCCTGTACAAGACAAATCACTTATGAAATTTTGGATTCGGACTCATTACAGCATGATCATTGATCATCGGGATTCTCAAGCCCTGCGTCCCTCGCCAAGCCAAGATACTCCCATCTAACATTGAAATACTCCGTTCCATGCTTCTCCAGCACGCGCTCAATATCCCGGGCATTAGCACCTTCCAAGCACCTATCATCTTCCGAGGTCCACACCCCCGGCATATCATCCGATATCCCCTTTCCAGCGACCAGATTACCCAGAATCTTATCAGCTAGGCTTGGATCCATGCTCGTGCAGCGTAGGGCTTCGATTACCTGTGCATCGTTCTGCGCTCTGCCACTGCGTATATGATCATCGATCCAGTCGTCGATGTCGGGCTGTGAGCTTTGTTCCTCTTCGGGTTCTGGGGTTGGGGTTGCAGGGAAGAAGGGGAGTTCTAGGAATAGGCTGTCGACTTCGTTTTCAGGCTGGTCGGGTTGCTTCTGTTGTTCTAGTTCTGGTTCTTTGCGGTGATCTGTAGTTTGGGTTGTTTCTGGTGTTCGGATTTCTCGTGCCACGGGCTCTGGGTGTCTTCTTTTCTTTTGCTCTGGTGATTCTTGCTGTCTGGATTGAGGACGATCGGTAGGTTCAATATTAGATGATCTCTTCCGCTTTCGACCATCTGACTTGTTGATAACTGGCTCCGTTCTCTGCTGTGGTCGTTCTTTTGCAGTCGTACTAGGAGCTCTTAAAGAAGCTCTGTCGATCCTGTTCTCATGGACTATTGGAACTCGACCTGCAGTAGAAGCTGGCGACTGTCGATGACTGCTGGCAGGCTCCGGATCCCGAGGAGGAACTGACGAACTAGGCCCTGCGTCTGATGTCTGAACCGCAGACCCCGCCATACCACCAGGTCGAGGGCGCCCACGTAACCTCTTTAAGTATCGATCCCGATACGACTGCCATGTATGTCTAGGGTTCTGCACAAGCAACATTAGCCTCTTTTTTCAACTCCCAAACCGCTATCCATCTCAGACATACCCTCGCTGCCAAATCCTGATAAATCTTATTCCCACTAATCGCAACCCCAGTCTTTCCCTCAAACTGCTGGACATGGTCCCAAAGCAGCTGATCATCTTCCATGGAATAGATAACCTTGATACCCCGGCTCGGGATGTAAGTTGCTCCCACGGGGCGTTGCGGTGATGGGCCGGCTCGGTAGTTTTCCAGTTTTGCTAGCCGTTTACTGCGGATGGAGTCTTCGATATATTTGTATGAGTAGCTGGTGGCTGTTAGTACAGTGTACCTTTGGGGGTATACGTTAGGTGACTAACGCATCAGAAGGTAAATTCTTCCTCTTATGATCGACTAACTTGACGTCTGCGTCTTTTTCTTGTAGTCTTACAGTTCCGCCATGTTCCTGTCCGGTATATCAATATCAGTTGTATGCGAAACATGTGGAGAGCAGGGGTCTTACTGTAATGAGTTCCTTGAACCTACTCCTCTGCGGGATATTCTGTGATAACCAGAATTTCTTTCCCTGGAAGAGGGTATCAGACCCCTGATTGGAGCCACCGCCGCCCTCTTCTGTACTCATATTGGTCTTTTGGGTGCTGCTTTTCTCCGAATTCAATGCGCTGTCGCGTTGTTCTTGCGCCTTGCGCGTAGGGAGTTCCTTGGTTTGCAGTCACGTGGGTGCGTTTCCTTTGCTTTTTGCTGTATATGGAATTGATTTCGCTTCTATGTTGATTCCATTGCAGGCGGTTTTTGTTCGATTGCCTGTTCTATGGCTGGTTGCAGAATTGAAGTTAAATCGGCGCGGTATCTTGAAGAATGGGCGTCACCGGACGGAGAACATCACGATAAAAAGGTCTACTGAGAATTGAGATACGGACAGTATACTCGTAAATTTTGGACAGGAAGACAGAATGGTAATATGATTTAATTATCAATTCGTCCGTAAAATGTTTGAAGAACCTACTAGATCACTAGATCCCTGTTGGTTAGTAACAATCCTTATCGATAGTTAACGCGTCTTTTTGCTGCCTCCGCATTCACTGCTCGCATCACCAACTTTACCTCGACCTCACCTCAACATAAATATCTCCCTGTCCTCTCCTTCAGTCTTCCCGAATTCTTCAACCCATTCCCTCTTTTCTATTCTATACACAAGCAAGATCTGAGCCCCAACAAAACCCACCCGCCGAAAACCCAACAGCGGACACCACCCCGCGCCACGCAGCGCATCCACCAATATGTCCACTTACGAAGGCACGCCCAAACCCAACACCCCTCCCCCATTTCTCTCAATCCTAACAAAAAACCACAGTCGAACACAATACCGCAGACCCCAGCACCACCCCCTCCACGACCCACCGCCGTCGTCGCCCCGACCTCTCCACGTTCTTCGCAACGCTCTCCGAAATCTCCAACCCCGAAGCCTCGCGTCACAGAGAACATGCCGTCCCCGTTCCCGGGGATATAAGCGCGGCATTCTACTCGCTTGCGGAGGCGTTAGAGGTTATGCGACGGGAGGGGGGTGATGTTGGGACGGAGGTCCAGGAAGGTGGGCAAGGAGGGGAGGATCTGTTGACGACGATGATTCAGTCGTTGTTGAGTCAGGCGGATACGCCGCCCAGGGAGGTGGAGGGTGTTAGTGAGGAATTTTGTGATGGTGCGTTTCTTCCCCCCTTAATTCCTCCGAAATTTAAGCGCATTGCTAATGTGTTTGTTGGGCTGTGCAGTCCTCGACCGCGTCCCCCGCAAATCCCTCAAAGAATCCCAAACCTGCCCGATCTGCAACAACCCCTTCCTAGAAGACGAATACCCGCTCGTCGTGCAGTTGCCCTGCCATCCTACGCATCTGTTTGATCTCGAGTGTGTGCGGCCGTGGTTGAGGTTGAGGGGCACATGTCCTCTTGACCGGAAGGATTTCGCGAAGCAGGAGAGGGAGAAGGATGCGGCGAGGAGGCAGAAGCCGGCGGATGATGAGGAGGAGGAGTGGGATGGGATGTATGGTTAGTTCAGTTCAATGGGAAGGGCATAGAAAGTGAAATAGAACGGTTTTTGGTGGCTATGAGAAATGATTTGGTGATGATTGCGTACGATGTCAGTGTCAGTTAGTTGTATAGCGGAGATACCAGCAGTGCATATGCATAATTTTGAAATCCAATGTAATGCAAAACATATCAAGAAACTCTATACAAGATCGTCTATTCGTACATGACATCGCTTCACATGCTTATCCTAGTAACCCCGTCCGTATCCGTCTTGGGCTGAATAGCTAGTTTGCCCGTCTTATCAATCACAGCCTCGAACCCGCTGCGCTCCAACAGACCCCCATCATCCTTAACAACCTCCCTCGCTTCAAGATCCTCCACCATCTTCTGGTTCTCCCGGTTCCCTTCTAACAAGAACTTGAGACACATAACAGCATGTTCCTTGATGTAAGGGTTATGCGCATCGAAGTTCGTGCAGGAAAGAATCGTCTCGAGACCGCCGTATCGTCGGATCTGATCTTGTACTTCTGGGCACTTCCACACGAGCGAGGAGAGCACAAGGACGACCAGTTTCTTGAGGTTTCTCCATTCGAACTCGGACGGGTCCTCTGTGATCGGTGGCGACTCGGCACCAGATCCTGGGCCGATATCTGCGGGGTCGGGGTCGCTGGGATCGTATGGTCGTTCGACGGCGACTGGAACGCCGCTTGTACCTGGTTGCGGGCTATCCTTGGGAGGACTGGTGTGACGTGGGGGAATACCCATGGGCAGAGAGCTTAGCTGGCCCTTAGGGATACTGGCTTCTAGTTCCTTGATCAGGGTGACAAGGTCGTAGACAATCTCCCACTTGACGAGAAGGTTCTTCCAGTCGTTGTTTTCGGTGAGGACGGCGAAGAATTCGAGGAATTGGTAGACTCCTTCGTAGACCCGTTCCATGTCCCACAGGTTCAGTGGGAAGTCCTCTGGCAGCGCGCGTCCGGCGCGGATCTGGCCTTGGAGGTAGATCAGAGCGCAGGTTTCGGGGATGATGTTACCGCGGAAGATGGTGAAAATGTAGCGCACGGTGAGGACGTCGACTCGGGTAAGAGGCGCGGGGTTCTTTGAGGGGTTGGGCTGCGTTCCTGTCACAGATGCAGGAGAGTACTTGGATCGGAAGATGTGGGTCAGGATCTTGACCACGACAGCTTGCGCCGGCGAAATGATATCCTTTGGTTGTCCAAAGTCGGAGTAAGCATGAGACATCAGACCGTTCTTGAGCACCGCGTCCATGATCTGCACCATCATCTTGAAGTACAACTCGTCGTCAGGGAGATCCCAGGCGGCAATGAAGATCAACAGTTCGCGAAGCAAGTTGCGGCCGGTCTCCTGGGTGAGTAGTATGTGGCACCGAAGAGCCTGCATATTCCTCGAGCCAACCCTCTCGCCACCTTTGAGACCAAAGCTGTCGACAATGCCGGCCTGGACTATCATCGGGAGAGCTTCGATTTCCGCGGGTCCAAGCACAAGCGGAATGTCAGTCAACAGACCCCGTTGTTGATCGCCTGGACGGCCTCTGTAGTCATCGTCGTCCTCGTCATCTTCTTCCTCTTCCTCCTCCATGCTTCCGTCCGCGACAGCCTCCAAACTACGCGAGTCGTCATCGGCAACCGTCCCGCCATCGGGATGGTCATACTCTTGACCACCATCGTCGCCCATTTGCGAGGTTTCTTGCAGTCGTGCCATAAGTTCGTCCTTCGCTTCTTGTAATGTCTCGGCGGCGGATTGTGCGGAACGCGGCATGCCGGTATCTTCCTCCGCCACAACGGCATCCCCTGAGGCAACGGCGCTGAACTCGGCAAGGTCAGGGAGATCGGCCCAGCAAATTCGAGGGAAGCCTGCAGTAGGGCTGCGGTCGATGGTAAGGATGGACTTTTTGCGCGGCGGCTCATCCTCTGGAAGAGCCGGAGGGAGGTCTCTAGCCCTGTCCTGCAGATCTGACCATCCGTCCACCTTCGCCCCGAGTATGGCGGTAAGAACAGCCCGGATTTCTTTAACTTGCTCTGGATCTTTACCCATTTCCTGGATCGCCGTCAAGTCCCGTCCTAGAAGCTTTTCCATGTGGTCCTTTATGTTCGCGAGAAGAAGCATGGCCGCTTCCTCCTTAATCGTCGCAGGCTCTCTCGGGAAATTGGAAATAGTCTCCAACAGCAGGTCCTCCGCAGTCTGGTCATACAAAGCCCGGATCGGAGGATTAACAATTCTCTCCCCAGTCTTAACAATCGGCGCGACACCCTCCGGCTTGCTAATTGTCTGATCCAACGGCTCTTTGGGCTGAATAATGTTCGTATCCCCCGTAGAATGATACCCAAACAGATCCAACCAAAGCACCATCTTCCGCTGCTCATTGTGCATGATAAAGTTGTGCAGGAACTGCAAGCACGTAATCAATAGGCGCTTGTAAAGGTTGACCACTTTCTGCCATCGCTCCTCGTTCCTCGCGTTTGTTTCCCCGTCGAAGCCCCGCGCCGTAACCCTCACGCATGTATCCACCAGCGCTATTATCCGCTGGTCGAATCCTTTTTCTGCTGCCATGTTTTGCGCTTTCTTCGTCGTTGCGAGGAGGTTGCGGGCGATCGTGCAGAGGTCGTTTAAGCGTTCGATATCCTTGACCAGCGAAAAGTAGTTGAATGCGATAAGGTTGGAGGACGAATGGTCGTAGTTAACGGACGGGGGACTCTTCCATGCGAAGGATTGGGCCTCGAGGACTGGGATCGCTTTGGTAAGTACGTCTGTGAAGCCTTGCCAGATGTCTGGCGACAAGCCCAAATTGTGTCTAGTAAAAAGCAACAAATTAGCATACATTTGTTATCGGATGGCAAAAACGAGAACGCAAAAAAAGCATACCTGACATCGCTCTCCTGGTGCGTCTTGTACAAAATCTGCTTCCCAGCAGAGAGCATATGCTCCAACCTCTTGTCATCAACCATGCCGCGGGTTTCGTAGTGGCTCAAGGTCCCCGTCAAGATGACCTTCAGCATTAGTTCAGCTGGCGTGCATTTTGGTTTTGTATCTGGCCCTGCGCGGTCAGTCATGTTGACTGATTATGACTATTAGCACAAGCTAAGCGCCGAACAAATTCGTCTTTATTATTGATTGCAGGTGGCGGTTGGGGTTAAAATAATTATCAATGCGGAGCAGAGAAAGATACTCGGATTTACTCGATCTCCGATGTGTCCCGCCGATTACTCTTTTGGGAATATAAATTGATTGAAGCCTCAGGCATTTGAGATAGTGAATTAACTATGTAGCTAGTAAATGTATTCAAGCAGTTCTATTGCACCTTCTTGCTGACGGGCAACATGAAAGCTTCCCGCAGATTATCCCAAAATCCCAAGTCGTAAATGTTATCAACTTCTTCCATATTACGAACTCGCACCCATCTCGGATCATAAGGTGCATCGAGATCATCTGGCTGGATGATATCGTTGGACCTCGACGAAATCTTGTATCCTTCAGCTGGCGGTTCCCCGTCCGTCAGGAGAAGGATCTGATCACTGCTCATCGGCCAGGCCGATTGAGGATTCCGACTCTCCCCCGGAACAGGCGAGTTTCCGTAAAT